TCAGTGTGTGCGTGTGAGTGTGTGAGTGTGTTTCTATGTGTGCTTCCCTTCTTTATAAGCCCAAAACAAGAGCTCCATGTTTCGGGGTCAAAAAAAGGCCAGCGAATGTGAAAAGCAGAACTTTGTTTGATAACTTGTCAAGTAGTTGGCAAACCGTCAAAGTGGAAGCAGGTTAATTTAAGTGGAGCAAGACGACGGAGGCGGAGATGAAGACGGACTTGTTTAATCGGTCTTTTCCCCCTGAATGGGAGTCTGCTCGTGGTGGTCTGTGGTCACGTAACAGTAGAAACACTCAAGATGTGTCTTTTTTCACGGTGTGGTGCCGTGTCCTGCTGCTAACACCTCTCCAAGCTGCTGATTCCATCTGCAGAGGTGCACACTGACAAGAAGGAGATGTGAACAGATAATGTGTTTCACACCATCTCCACGATCACCGCTCTTCTCCTCAGTGAAGAGTGATCCCGGTCCGTCGCATGTGGATAATGAAGGAGTGGCTGTTGTAAACCTGCCTGTTTGGAATGGGCTGTTTGTTTGACCTGTGGTGATGCTGGTTGCCACGGCGAGTAAAGACCGGCTGCTGGACTCTGCACCTGAAGCTGCCGCACCGCCGCTGCTCACCTGTGTGTTATTTATGCTGAACGTATTACATCTCCATATTAAACCAAATTTGACACTGCTTTTCTTTGGACCAGCACAACACACAAGTGTTAAGCTGATAACTTGAATGGTTCTGGAGATACAAGCTACAGACAGTGAGACAGATTTCTGGATTTATTATAGATTATCTCTCTCTGACTTTTCATCTGAGAACACTGCAATGAAACAATATTGCTGGAGATATTTTTCTTCATCTCAGGTTCCACTGAGAGGGTTCTGCGTTCGCGACTCTTCTACGTAAATGTGCATGTTCTTCTTGTTTCCTCGGATACTCCCGGTCCCTCCCACAGTCCAAAGACACGTATCTTAGGTTGATGACTCTAAACTGCCTGTAGGTGTGAACTTATCCATGAATGGTAATTTGTCTCCATATGTCAGCCCTGTCATGTGGTTGTGACCTGTCCAACCTGCCTTTGGTTCATTGCAACTGCTCCAACAGCCCTGAAAGAATAAGTGGGATATAGATAATGGATGGATGGATAGTTTTACTCATCAGAAAAAGCAGGTGAACCAACAACATCAGTAACGGCTCTTTTTTTTTTCATTCAAATGGTCCAGCAGGCCATTGCCCGTGAGCCAGCATGCACAATAGCTGGGGCCTGGAACTGGGACATCTAAATGGAATGAAGCCATCATTCAGCTCAGCAATTAGATCTATGCTTCTCCTGCTTGAAGGAAATGTCTGAACTGTCTGCCATTAAAAAAAGTGTCCATCATAATATGGGGAAAACCGGAGATCAGGTTTGTGAATGTTTTGTTTTTCTGTGTTGAGTTTAAAATGTCAATATTCAAACATCTACAACTGATTACATGAGGAGAAATGTTCATATCCCAAACATTTACTAACCCCTTATGTTGCTATGTTTGAATATAGTACATATAAAACACAGGGATAACTGGAGATGTTGCTCTGGATGTCTCACCAGATATTGCTGTGGCATTCTGGAAAATCCCAAAGTTCCCTGAACCAGAGGCCAGCTGGTCAAAGCCCCAAAGCTGATTATTTTTGGGAATGGGGGTTCAGTGTGAGCATGTGTGGGTGGAGCAGGGGGGCGGAGGTTCAACCATGTCTTCAGGCCTGTTTCTCCCCAGAGACAGTCTGAGCCGTCAGACGGAATCAGAGGTGAACAGAAACGCTTGAAAATGTTCCAGCTTTCTTCTGCTTATTTTACTGCAAAACTGCAATTCCTTTCTTAAATGTTGTATTTTCTGTTAAATCATGGTAACAACAAATATTCAATTGCATTTTAAGAATCTGCATGGATGAAAACCTTTTAGCTGCTCTAAAGAAAAATCTATGGTTAGAAAAATGTGTCGCACAATATCACCGTAAAGTCACACAAAAAAAAGACACAAACAACTTATCAGAAACATGAACTCATCAGTTCCTGTAATGGCAGAATGTATTTGATTTAAATGAATGTATGCGGCCCATTCACTCACATGGAGGAGGCAGGGTTTATGAACAATACTACAGCCAGTCACCAGGGGGCAGTCAAGATGATTTAGCTTAATTTTTGCTTTTGGCTTCAAAACTTGATTTACTGTGATTTACATAATGAGCTAAATGTTTTTCTAACCTCCACCCGTTCTTTTTCTACATGTAGATAAAATAGTTGCAGTTCTCTGCATCATGTATTTCTTGTACATGTCTAACCTCTCCTTCTGTACAAACCTTACTTCTAAGTTTACTTCTGATATTAACAATCTCTGTAGCTGAATAACTCAAACTGACCTCACCTCATCTGCTCATATACCGACCACCCAAGGGGAAAAAAAAAAAGAACATCCCCAAACAACAAAATGACAAAATGAATCCCCGTAGATGATTGTTAGGTGGTGGTTTGAGGTTCGGAGGTGGATTTTTCTAGCACTTTTTCCTCCGCAGACATTTTATAGAATTAAGCCGACGACACCTCCAGGAGACAACAACAATTCCTGGCGTCCCAGAACCACCTCCACACCCGCTGTCAGTGCTGATCAGACCCCTGCGCGGCGACAATACACCACCACCCTGGCATTGCACCTACAGTTACGGCTGTGCTTGGCAAACAATGTTGATCGTATACTGTAAAAGAGGGGATGTCTCAGATCAGATGCTAGATTAGAGCATTAGTGCCGGGTCGGTGCGTCTAAGGCCGACAAGACAGGTCCAGCAGGGTCAGGGAGCTCTGAGTGTTTATGTTTCTAGTGTTGGTGAGCAAGGAATGAGTGCATTTATGTGTTCATCCATGCCTGTATATATATGTGTGTGTGTGTCTGTGCATACATAAGGAGCGTGGGAGGTGTCAGCAGCATAAGCCACAGGAATATCACCCAGAATCAAAGAATCACATTGCACCATGAAAAAGATAGGGAGGGTAGAAAATAGAAAGGCAGAACACAAACTAAGAGAAACACAACAAGAGAGAGTTATCTGCATAAAAAAAGTGTAAGAGAATGAGGCCTTGTTGTCGGTACTGCAGATATTTTTAAAAATTTTACAAAAATATCTCTATCCAGATGAGAACACAAAAACCACCACAAACGTAGGTTGTGATGAAGTCCACATCAACGATCCGGCTAATATCATAATAATCATATAACTTCTGGGACTTAGTTTTGTGTGGACCAGCAGCTCACACACAGAGGAAGAAAGCTGATTTTGCTAAATATGTGCCTTAGTGAGTTAGATGGTGAGAGATGAGACACAAGGAGGATATAAGAGAAACTTAAAATCCAAGTGGCCATTGCAGAACCATCAAACAGCATCTTACAGCTTCATGATCTCCTGAATACAAATCAATGTGAAACACTGTGGAGAATCAGGATGATGCAACACATGATTTACAGCTTTAACTGTACAAGAGGAACCTTACATGAGAGATTCATTTAACTAGAAAGCAGACAAGGAACAAACTGTCATTCACAGCTTCAGATTCTGCAGAGCGCGGCTTGTGTGTGTGCATGTGTGTGTGGTTGTGGTGCACCCATAGTAATCTGAGGTTTATTAGCAAAGGAGCCTTCATGAGAACTTTTGAACAGAAACCAGTTGCTGTTGAACAGTTTGTCCTGGTGCTTTGAGTTGACTGACAGTGATAATCCCACCACCATGGAGCCTATGGTGCTCACTGTGGGTCCTGGAACGTAGAAAGTTGCCAGTGATCTGGTTCACTGCACATCCACAAAGGTCATCTGTGACTTCACCTCTCACTGGTACAACTCACGGGTTCGAAGTCCAATCCCTTTCTCACCAACTGAAGAGGCTTAAACCTAAAACCATTACGTCATATAATTTACATAATGTTTAAAATCATGACTTTAAAGTTGTTGTGTTTTCCCGGACCTTTCTATTCAGTTGTGTGAAATGTGTTTCCAGGTCCAAACGCTGCAGCGCTGTTAAAAAGACGTGACGGATTATGGTATTTTCCAACAAGTCTCCACTTAAAGAAAAGCCTTGGTCTTAGATATAATTGGGGTTTTCCTGGTGAATTCATCTGTCTGTATTCTACTGTCATTATCAAATAAAGATGACATGTCAACCAAAACCGTGAAACAAAGAAAGAGGATGTCACATGTTGTAACCGGCTGTAGGTATTAAATGCATGTGATAATATTTCACAGAGGTGATATCCAGTGTTCACACCATGTGCAATTAGACTGCAGGCTCATAAAGCCATAAAAATAATAATGATTAAAACACAGTCCAGTGTGGTGAAGTGTAAATGCAATGGTTTGATCAGTGGGCTGAACAAAAATCAAACATAAAGATAAGTAACAAGTCCGTTCTGTTCAACACAACTAGAAATGCAGATAAGCAGATTAATAAACAGCTCTGGAAGAAATGTAAAGACGTATTTGTGTTGAATCTGCAAATGTCTTCATGTATGGCAGCCATTTCATTCCAGTGTCTGTTGAATTTGGGAGAATTGTTTTTAGTAGTACAGAAAATATTGATGTGACAGTTTGCTTGAGGGTTTTGGGCAGCGGCTGCATGATTTCATGGGTATTCACACTAACGTGTTATCTTATTGTAGGCGGACCTGAAATCTCTTATTCATGTTGTGCTCCTTCCTTTACTCTGACCTAGTAACATATATACTAATACTTACACCTCTGCAGAAATCTACCTTTCTATACCAAGACTATTCATTCAGACCCTGTAGTTTCAGAGATATACTCATTTTCGAGCAGGGGTCTGGAAAACACCAGATATGTGACTATGTTTCCAGAGTTACATTAAAGACGTTACATGTGGATGTGGTAACTTGTGAGGAGTAATTGATTATCACTTGGAGAGACGTGTCCAGCAGTAATGGGCTTCACCTGTGGAGGGTCTGTGATTGGAGAGGCTCTGCGCTCGCACTCCGCCCTCCTCGGCTCGCCGCCCGCCTCCCCAAACCCGGAGCGCACGCAGCTCCTCAGTTCCTTCCCCTCCACCCTCAGCAGAACATGAGCTCCCACCTCTCCGAGCGGACGCATAGCGATACAGATGGTTTCACCACGATATTCCGCTTCGTGCTGACTGAAAGTGCTGTTGTTTAAGGCAAAGAAACGTCCACCCTCTTACCGCTTCTGCTTTTCTTTTTGGATGCGCCATGCTATCTCGCTGGTGGAGGAGTTGTGGCGTTCGGCTGGTGGCATGGACGTGGGTTTGGAGTCTGGCGTGGTGCATCCCCGCAAATGAAGGTAAGACACGCGTAAAAGGCGCAGCTTTGACGCGCGACCGGGTGGTTGGTATTGTCGCCGTCTGGCCAGTTAAAGGTCCGCGGTGTCCCTTTGGATGCCCAAGGTGGCTTTTACGCTTTCCTCGCCGTTTGACAGAGAAGGAGGTCGCCTGTAAATTGAATTTGAGCTGATGATATTTATGACAGCAGTGTCCCCCAGGACTCACGATATAAAACAAGAGAGAGACCTTTGAACAGAACATGATTCTCTGCAGACCAGTCGTTCGAAGACTTTGGCACAGAGCTCTGAGGAAATAGATAAATCAGAAACCTGTTCCAGTGCAGGGTGGAAAGTGTTCATCTTTACGTTCACTGTTAATTGACCTACATTTTATGGCATAAAAGAAAAAATCACTTGTTTAGTAATCCACGTTTTCTCTGCTTTGGTTTTCTGTAGTGAGTTTTAATCGAACTCTATTTATCCTTTTGTCATAATTAGGGCAAAGTCTTCATTTTATTTCAAGATTAATCTAATCTGGTTTAGTCTTTAAAGCTGTGGATTTAGTCATTTTAACCTCTGACCTCTGGTAGAAACACCAGCCAGCTGATGAACTCAGTTGCTGTCACTGAATGTCAGATATGAACAGTTTCTTGTGTCTACATTCATAATGTGGCTCCATCACTTTCATATACTTCACATAACTAATCAGTTTCCATCTCAAATAAACTACTGCACTCCATCATATCCCCATAACAATTTGATTTAAAAGACAATACGAAGTTTTAAAGAATGTGAGAATAAGTCAAACTCACATGTCAGATATTGTTCCCACGCTATTGTCCGCACTCTGGGCAGCAGTTTGATAGCTGGAGATGAATGCTATTGTTTGGGGCTGTTGGACGGCATTATCCGGGAAAAGGGGCAACATTTGTCAACCTCCTCATTCTTCACATGGCAGATTTATTTGGTCAAAGTTTAGATGCACAAAAGTAACCAACTCTATGTGGTCATGGGACCTGCATGAGCCGTCCATGTGGTTCGCAGGGGCTTCCTTTGGCAAGATGAAATATTTAAAGTTCACATGGAGTTTGTGGGTTACCTCTTTGTACCAGAGGCAATGAGCAGGCTGAGGGTTTTGGGTGATGGACGTATGAATTTGTGTTTAATGGGATAAAGCAGAATTCTATGTGGGTGTAAACTGATTTATGAGTTGTAAGAAATAATTTAAAAGGAATATGTTTCATACAACTATGCCAATTCATCCAGTGACGTGCTAGAGTCGGTTAAAACACAGCCTTGATAAATCCAGGCTTTAGACTGTGACAAGTTTGAGAATGAATGGATGACAAGTCACTTCTGAAAAACATCCACATTTGATCTTTCACGTCTCAGAATTAGTCAGACATTTGCCGTCTTTGTTCTCGTCATTTATCAAGCACATCCTTTGTTACTCTGCGACGGCACAACGTCAAAAACCTGATTCGTCTTCTCAGAAGTGTGATGTCTCTCAAATGAAGCTGACGACTTCTATTTAACAAACATAAAGTGTTAAACACCTCACCCCTCACCAAACATTTGCCAGAGGCCACTGAGCACACTTTTCTTAGATTCATTTGGCACATATTTACATTGCAGTGGATAATCATACCACTGCATGCATAATTGGAAAGAGGAGAGAAGCCCGTAATTAAAATAGCTGCTATTCTTTCATAGGGCTAATTTATTGTAATTGAAAAAAAAGTAAGATTCAACATCTTTGAGGAATCATCAGGGATTCTGGCCACCTGCCCATCTAAATTTTTGTCTTCATGTGAGGGGGGGCGTCATGCTGAGGCCGTGCAGCGTAACGTGTCCTGACATTACACAGCGGACTCACCTCGTTCAACTCTTTTTTTAAGGCTGAGGTCCACTTTAAAGTTCATTTAAGTAATTTGCAGCTACACGCCAACTTGTGTTATGATCGGTGACTAATTGAAGGAAAGAGAAGGTGAACAGAGAAAAGTCCTGATCCCTCCTTTTATTATATTAACATTTTTCTTGCAGAGGGCACAGTGTTCCTGCGGTAACGCTCGATCACTGATGAATGGTGTTGAAGAAAACTGTACAAGCTGTGTGTGCCAAGTTGATAAATCCCCTCTCTCAAAGCTAATCTGTTCTTATTAAGTTATCAATTTCTGTGAATACCTAGACACAGAGCCAGATGAGTCACATTTGTGTTAGTTGATTGTAATGTGTCAATAATACTGTCAAACCAGTTAGGATGATGTGAAGTGTGTGTGTGCGAGCTTACACATTAGCGAGTTCCATTGCTCTGCTTTTTCCTGGTAATGGTGTGGATCCAACGAGGATGGTAAATTGAGGCAAATTATCGTAAATGGATTGAGGGAAGTGCATGTGTGTGTCGCCTGTGTGAGAGCGAGAAGCCAGGCTATTAAACCTGAAGTGATCTGAGCTAGCATTAGCATCCCACGATCAAAGGAATAGAAAGAAATCAAAGGAAAGGAAAAAGACTAAAACAAGAAGTGTTGGGAAAATGATGTTTAATACCTTGAACATTGGTTTCAGAAGTAGGAGGGAACATATGGTCTCAGATGAGGTTGTATTCATAATCTCTGATGATGGCACTAAAACCCTTCACCTGCTCAAGTGCCAAAAAATGTGCGATTGAAAACAGTACCACGACAGCCTTGTACGTCCCAGATCAACTATTCCGTTGCCATTTCAAGAGGAATTTTATCAATAATCCTCCGGCTGACAATCCACTTACTCTTCAACACATTTGAAATACTTTAAGTATCCTTGAAGTAATGTCACTATAAGACTTTAAATCACTTCATTCATTCTGCGGAGCTGACTTTTACTAATAAGTTCTATAGATCATTGTCGCAGCTGAGCTGGTGAGGTGGTTTGATCCTCAGAGTGACTGAGAGAGGTAACCTATCCCTTATGATCTAGTTCAGCATCACTTATCTCTTCTTTATGGCCTAATTACTTGTCTAATCGCCTCCGAAGGACATCTTTTATTATTCTCTGTAGAGCAGTGCAGACAGTAAGACTAGTGGTGTGTGTGTTGAGCATTTTTCTTACCTCATGGGGACCTTCCTCCAGTATAAACCTCGACCTTGTCAAGACCAGTATTCCTCTTATGATGTGGCAAAATGTCTCTTCCAAGTGCCTGGTTAAGGTTAGGGTTGGCGTCAAGGCAACGACCTATCAAGTATAGCTGTGTAAACGTGTGTGTTGGCAGGAGTTGGAGACCATGTTTGTCTCAGGAACTGAACTGGCTCTTGCTTCATATTTTGAAGTGTGTCTCACTTCGAAAGTTTGTCCCGCTGACATTGTACCAGGGTTGATATGAGCTTCAGATGTTTTTATTGCTTATCTCAGAACCTGTCATATGACAGATTGTACTCAACATTTGGTTGAAGTAATGGATAATATTTATGAGATTATATTTTGTATGACTGACATTTATATTGATACTGTTACTGTAATGTCTATTGTCGGTCGCTCCAAACAGCAGCAGAAAGTACTGCTTCAGTTAACATGGACAGATATTCTTGTTCATTTTGACCTAATCTCTGTAAACTGATTCAGGATGTGAAATCAGCAAAGTATTGGATCTTAAATCCCAATATTTCAGTTGAGGAAGTAGTGTGAAATCCACTCCTGCCGTTGTAGATCAGAAGCTGGTTGGATGTCATATTTAAACATGAATGTAAAGGAAAATAAAAGCATTAAACTATGCTTAGATTTTGCAGCTTGGCGTTTCAAGTTGGGTCGATACTGTAGCTGTGAACTTCAAAGCAGATGGAGCCTTTTCAACAGCTTAAGTTGGACAGTGGTTAAAAACCTTTCATTCAAGTCAGGGAGAAAGGACGCTGAACCTTTCCCCTAGATTTAATATTCCAGTTGAGGAGCCTGCAGACTGCAGCTAATGAGAAGTCACTGATGGTTGTTGGAGTACATCACATTGGCTAGAGTCTGGGTTCACTCTGGATGATTTGGATGCAGATGTAAATATCTGCATATTCCATCTTTTCTTTATCTGTCGAATTGTGGCAGTAGGAAACTTGTTGGAACAAACTTTATTGGTATTGTCAATGCTCATGTTCACTGTCAGTGTCATGGCAACTGATCCCTTCAGTGAGAGCGTAAAAGTTGCAGGAGGCAGGTAAAAACTTGTGACTACTGGAAATGAAAAAAGTGGTATAAAAAGACACAGTGTCTACCCAAGTTTAACAGATGCTACCTGGTAAGCTTAAATGTCAACCTCTGTATCATCTCCCATTACACGTCAACTAAAAGCTTTGGCTTATGACAAGGGATCCGTCGGTTTGACTTTCTTTTTTATTGTTTGAGTTCACACTGTGTCAGACACAGAACAAGCCTGAACGTTATCATCGATGAGATAAAGAAAACTGAACTCCGACCTGACAACACCCGGGTCGCGCTTTATGACCGTGCATATCATGATGAGATTTGAAGCTGTCATAATACGGCTTAAAATGAGATTTACTGTGTTCCATGTGTGAGGAATGTTTTGCTTCTAACACTAAAACAAAACTGGCCTCAAGCTGAGTCTCAAGTTGGTGCTGCAGGACTCCTCCCTGCATCCCTTTTTTTTTTTTAACTGCCTCCAAGTGCATCGTCTATGAGCTCACAGTTGCTTCTCTCAACAAAAACTTTTGTTCCTTTTTTTTGTCGAAGAAGCAGCTGAACACGCTGACGGGCATCATAAGACAGAATTCACAAGACTTTACTGTCACCGGTGCTGCACAAGAGCAACTGGAAACGTGTTTTGAAGAGTGCAGCGGTCAGGTAATTACATTTGACAGCTTTCAACCTGGAAGCTGAGAGAGGAGGATTTTTAGTTTGACTAGAGAGATGTGTTCAGCGCAGCAGTCAGAGAACACGTCTTAGATGTTTCCCTTGTGAGAGCTGCACCGAAAGCAAAGTCCAAAGTCGCAAGTCCACGTACACTGCAGCCATACTTTAGTTTTCAAGCAGTTAGGTAAATGGGCTCCGCACTCTTAAAAGTAAACACAGACGTCCCAGCTGAAGGATCCACTGTCAGTTTTTTAGCAGTTAGTCTGACCCAGCATGCACCTGTTGGTCACACAGGATGACAGGTGTGTTTGATTTGGGACATTTCATGTGGTAGCAGTGGAAATACTCATTTTGAAAAAATAAATCCTATGCAGAAATTGCCACAGGAGATTGAACAGAGTATTGTGAATCATCTTGGAAAACGAGTATCAGGAGAGTGTGGTGACAGTTGGAGAATAATAATGATGCACCTCAGTCACATGAAGATGCATTACTGCTTCATCCTCCTTAGTTCAGGGGGAACGATGTTTCAACGTTGAATCTCCTCAGGACCAAGTTGTGCGTGACATGCATCAACAAACAGCTGCCGAGGGAAACATTTTCGCATTATTTTTCACATGTTGCAGTGCACACACTTAATATTTATCATTTAAACAAGAATTTACTTTCTCTTTTACTTGAGAAGTTCATTTTCAGAGGTGGAGACAGGGACGTTTGATTCCGCAGTGGTGATGGGCTGTACTGACTTTACTGCCGTCGCTGAATTGCTTGAACAAGGTTATAAAGTTGGGCACGGGTTTTAAAACTCTTGAAGTGATTTGGGGTTTGTTAAACTACTATGCATCAAAAATTGCTCTCAAATTGAGTGACAGGTATAAAAAAATGTCAAATTCTCCTCTAATCTGTAGAAGAGAGGCAAATGCTGTAAAAAGACACGCTGTGACATTTTAAAAAGAGACCAGGATTAATTAGATAGATGATGCTCCTGTTACCTGTGCTACAGTCCGGGGATCCCAGAGTGAACTTACATCAAACCATTCTTTTTTAAATTCTCAGTTTGTTGTAAAGTTGGTGTCAATTCTGAAAACTAATTTGAATCCACACAGTGAGTCTCTGTGATGCACCTGAAGCTAATCCTGACCTTGAATACTTATGACTGAAAATGATCTGATCATTAGTGAATGCAGTAAAAATTCAGGTCATGAGTGAACTTTGACTGGATTTGAAGATAATGAGGTGATTTTTGTTTTCCACTTCTCTGCTTTTGTGTTTCGACTAATGATTTTTATTTTTATTCTTTGACAGTGAACCTGCTGGATTCTCGCTCTGTGATGGGAGACCCAGGATGGGTGGCCTACCCACAGAATGGGGTAAGGAAATGAAAAAAGAAATTGCTCAGATGTATAGAATTGTTTGACCTATTTTTTTGATTTAATCTTAAAGTTTTCAGTATTTGTTGTATCTTTGGGTTTTAGGGTATCGTGGTTTTGGAGGCACATGGCACAAGATAAATTGTTTTCATGGTTTAAGAAACCTTTAATTCTCCATGTGACACACAAACATTCATGTTGTGCCGTTCAATTATCTTTGCAGCATTTTGGAAAACTCATTAAACCCAGTTACCCATTAAAACTATTGAATGCACAAAGAATGCTGAACAATTCAATTGACTGTCCATCTTAAATGAACAGCTACAGTGTGTAAGCACAGTGTTGGTAGATTTAGCAGCAAACTCACTTTCTGGATATGATGAGAGAAACCTGCAGCTTCCATGATTTCTACCTTGAATCGCAGGTACTTCATTTGTTTTGTCAAGGTCAAAGGTCATTTCATTTCCAAGAACTCTCAGTTCATTATCAGGCTAAATTGAATTCATGAATAAGATATCGGAAGTCACCGTGGAATATATTATTCTCAAGCCAGGAATTGAATTTCCATTTCCACGTATTCCCCAAGCGATGGCTAATTAGAGAACGACTTACTAGAGTTGGAAAATAGTTATTTCATGCTCTCATGAAATGTATTTCAATGAAAAAGAAGTTGTGTTTAAAATAATTTAACAATGGATTCTGACTAGGATGGTAGTTCCGTGCCATATTGTCCCCTTTGTTTAGAAAACTTAATTTCCCCATAACCCCGAGGGGGCTGACTGTGCGGCGCTTGTTTGGATTAAACAGGAATTAATTTGTGCGTCCATCTATCAAGTTGAAAATCCCTCATGTAGCCACAACTCCTGTCGGCAAATAGACCCATGCCAGACCAATAGTGCTGACCTGAGCACTTTCTCATCTCCGAGTATTCACATCACGGCTCGTTCCGTGGCTGTTCCTCGATGGGAGAGATAGTGCTGACAAAAGCAGCCATGTGCACAATCATATTAATGAAGATGTGATTAAGGTGCGACAATGCATCTGCATAAATAAGTGCAGCATTCGGGGTAGATGGAGGGAGGAGAAAATTAACGGCCTGATAAGACAATGCAGGGATCTAATTATGACATTCTGTCTCAGTGGCTGTGACGATCTCATTCAGCTCCACTTTATGTTGATTAAAATGATTTTTTTTTTTTCTGTTTGACTTGTTGTCTGACACTGAATTGAAAAGACGTGTGAGACAAAACGAATCTATTCCCTGTTTGGCATTTTAAATAACAGATGCCTTTTTTGTTTGTGTGTCTGCAATTATAATTCTTATCATGTGCATGTGCACCGTTGTACGACAATGCCCAATCTGCAGCTTTTGACACACACACACACACACACTCAGTCACACTTGGCAGCAGCAGTCGGCCATGGTTAAATAAGATATTGAAGAGGCACAGAAGCCTTTTTCTTTCTACCCATGTTACAGATGGTGTCTTTTTTTTAATCCCTTATTTTTGTCCTTTTCCTTCAATCTGCATCATCGCCCTGGAGTCCCCCCCCCAAACAATTATTTGACTCTGCATCCCCATTTTCTTCCTGCCCCTGTCATCTGCTTGTCGTTTTATCTCACCATCTCCCCTCCCGCTCTTTTCTTGCTTTCCATTTTCAAAGCCTCCATATGCTTCACGGGTTCTTGAGGCGTGTATTTAAAGACGACGGGGGGATGGGACTAACATGAGGGCTTTGAAAAATCGTTGAAATTTGATGGATGAACTTCAATTGTTTGGACACAAAAACAATAATGCAACACTCGTTTGAAGCTGTCGGTTAGGAAACATTTTTTACACTGAAAATGCTTTTTCTCGTCTATGAAGAGCTTCTTGTGTTTTATTAAGAAGTTCGCTATTAGCTGCCGTTTCTCGTCTTTGAGCAAGATTTTTCTAACATGAGACCCCTGACAATGTGCACACAGATGTGTTGTGAGACAGATGTGGAGGGAATTAGACAGTGATGGAGAGCTGCAGACAGTCAGACCGTGACATGAGGCAGACAAGGAGAATGAGAGGGGAGAAACCAAACCTTCCTGTGACCTGGAATATGCAGTGAGATCGGAAGTGCAGGTAGAAGACAAAGATGGCCTGTGGGTAATCAAGAAGACAGACATAGAATCAGGACAACATTTGTGTTGTCTTCACATGTCTCATTGTCGATGTCTAAAATGTAAATGTAAATTTAAATTAATAATAGAATCATGTTGGAAAAGACATGAGGACCACAATAAGAATAAAAATCCTGCCTGGCCTTTAGGACCATTCATCTGTCAACCCATTGTCATCCAGTACCTCCATTACTGGGTGGGCTGCCGATCATCATCTGGCATTAGGTGGATGCTTTTATCTTCTACTTCCTCAGCTGCATTACACTGAAAATACTGGACGGATTACCATGAAGCTTGTTGGAAGGATGCATTATGGATCAGGGAAGAAAAATCAATATTGCGGTGCAGATCAACATCAGGGGGCAGAACATTTTTCAATGTTGGGAGATATGGAAGGTTTTATTTTACGTTTTTACTGATTTCCCAGAGAATAATAAAGTTCTCAAATCCAGTTGTAAAGAATCTGGAGTATTTGCAGGTGAGATCTGTGAGTGTTTGCATTATGATGCAGAGCTATGTGCATTGTGAAATGATGTAAGGAGTTCGGCCCTACTGCTGCTCAGAATCTTCAAATTAATTCAGTTTATTTGTATTGTGCCAAACCACAACGTATATTATCTCAATGCACTTTACATGTAAAGGTTGGAATCTTACAAAAAAAACGTCTGCAGAACTAAAAATAAGGTAAAATCATATTAATGTGTTCAATCACTGCTTCTCCAGGCAGAGCAGCTGGTTCAGGAGCTCTTGTTCATCGACTGCCTCTCTGATTCCTCATGCTCACTTGACCACAGACAAGGGCAAACCAGCATCAAAGATGCTGAGCACACTGAAACACCTTGTGCAATGTTCGGGCACAGATGCTCCACGATGGCCCGCTGACGGCTAACAGTTGGCTTATTGTGTCAGGGCTCTAAACTATCTGTCCTTAATGAGGAAGGGGAGCGGCTATTTGAACAGTTCAGGGAGTGTTTGCTCAGAGATTTGTTGTGCCGCAGCTTAAACGGATCCTCTCTGTTTCCCCTGGCACATTACAGTACCATGAAGGAGGGAAGACGAGGTAGAAGAGAGGAGAAAGATAAGAGAATGGTGGAGATTAGAAAGAGGAAGTGTGACAGGAGGGAGGGATGGAGGAAAGGAACGGCGGCAGTAATCGGGGACAAGGAGGGAGACGAAGCTGGAAGAGGGGAGAGACGGATGAGTGGGGGAGGTGGTCAAACAGTGCTTCTGGGTTAGATTTAAGATTGGATAATTGAAGCAAGAATAGAGGACACATGGAGGGAAGATGATGATAGACATGGCTGGAATGAAAAGGCAGAGGAATACGGAATGAGGGAGGGATGTTTGAGTGTTTGAATAGGAGACAGAAATGGGGAAAGAGGGTGCCGGGTGGGGGGGGGGGGGGGGGGGGGTCTTGTATGGGTAAGGCGTGAGAAGGACAGATCTATTAAGGTGTCGTGATAGTCAGTGGGAACCAGGGGGGTAATAATAAGTTGCAGGCAGCTTTATGGACTTAGAGCCAGGAGGGCACTCAGCACAGCCACAGGGGGTCTGCTGACGGATGTGACACGCCGACACATGAGCACACCCACACACTGAACCTTCTACGAAACGAACGCACTCTAATGAGGGGCTAGAAATATGCCTAAAGGGACTGTTCAAGCAGAGAAGGGCAGAAGGTAGAGACGAGACGTAACGGAGAGGTCAGGGCTGCACGAGATGGGTCGGAAGGACTGAAATTAAGAACGTCTCTTTACTGAGATCTTTCTCTCAGCTGGCTTTTTTAAATTTTTATTTTAACAATTATGATTAAATAAAGAAAAGAAACTTTAATCTTACTGTTGGCAGTAACTTCTCATGCAGACACTTTTGGTTTTATGTGTGAAGGTGTTGATTGGAAGGGATTTGCTGGCTGCTATTTAAAAACATTGGAAACCATAATTTTACGTAGTAGAGCGCATACCTCTGCCAACACTCCCCCGAAATTCAATCAAGCTGCTTCAAATTACACAGACTAATAGATACCAGGACCCTAAATATGTCTGATAATTTATTTTAACAAGACCCATGGATTATTCCCTGGGAAATTGGAGAAAATGTCTAAAAAAGCCGCTGTTCACAACAGACCAACAAACAACAGGGGCAGAAATCTTGGCAGAGATAACACTGCCCTGGATTCTCTAGATAGTTCGACATTGTACAGGAAGGTCACAGCAGAAATATGTCTAAGAACTTCATCAGGTACCTAGAAGAGGAGGAAGAGGTCATTCTGTCTGCTAACAGACACACAGCATGAAAGCATAACCTCCTTGGTGAAGGTAATTACATAAGTATCTGTATGTCTAGATACCACAAGGGATAAGTGAGGAAGATGTCTGTTTCCTGGACTTTGAGGGAACTGACCCTTTAAGAAGAGGTTGTGTGAATTGCTTTGGTGCGCTAAAGATTATAGCTTCATGTTTTCAGTTCAAAAATCCCTTCACAGAATCATTAAGAGACAGAAGCAGATCTGCCGTAAAGCAAACACAGAATCTGTGGTTAGGTTTTGAGCAGTGCACCTTTGAGCGCTTGATTTTTGTTTCTGCAGTGACTCGTATTTCTGTATGGGTGGTCCTGACCTTGCGGTGTTGGCGTGTTGCTCTCTGCTCCGAGCTTTGTGCTTGACCTCCGAGGACCGAACCCACCTCGCACCATGTGCCGCGGTCTTTAAAGATCCCATGAAATAGGCACTTGAACTTCACAGAAAACTGCTGCCTCCTGGGAAAACATGCATGCTCACATAGTGTTTAAAAAAAACAAACTGCTTCTACTCCAAAAAATAAGACTTTTATTTTACAGATCCATCCTGTTTTAAATGCATCACATAAAGATAGAAAGGATATCATTTCATAGAGCTTGAGCCCAGCTAACCTTTTATTTCATGTGTGTGTGTGCACATTTCTCAGCTTGTTTTGTACCGTGTATTTATTTGGAAACTAATGGCTCATGTTAAATCATTGTTTGATGACTCACTTTAAAAAGCTTCAGCGCTCTGTGTGAGTGTCGGGCCCCGTTTCCATTAGTAATAAAACACTGCTAATACAGTCGAGCTGCAGAGCGGGAAGATTTCCAACGGCAACAATGGCAACCGCTCTTTCTCCGCAGACACTGAAGCCATTTGATTCCAAAGCAAAACCAGAGAAGGTCATATCTGTTCAACTCCCTGCTGGGCTAGCAATGATGATTTTTCTGTGTGTGTTAGTGTGTGTCTGTATGTGTGTGTGTTAAGCTGTGCAAAGCTCAGAGCAGGCTGGTGGATCTGTGTGATCTAACCAGTAAGAGGCTTAATGTCTGCACTGGGACTGACTGGCCTGGAGTCTGGAAGAGATAGGGGGCTCAGTCACACACACACACTCACACACACACACACACACGTATGTTTGTGCATCTACACGTGTGGAGACCCTCATTAACATAATGCATTTAACACTACCTTTTAACCAAAGTCCAACCTCGTAAGCCACGTCTGAGCCCCTCAAAGGATAGTTGACATTCAAAATGTCTCCACTTTTCCTGTCCTCATTCTGAGTCTCAAACTTATATTGGTCCTCACAAAGCGAGAAGTACACTCGCACAAACACACACACACACACAGAAAGACATGAGCATTTAACAACTCGCACGCTGTCTAATAGCACTTGACAATGCCTGCCTTCATTCACAAATGGTTCAGAAACTGAGATAATTAAGCCTAAAACAAAAAGGAGACTAAAGCAGGGAGGGATGGAAAAAAAAAAAAGAAAGACAGATGGTGAATAAGACAGAGAGAAGAGGGAGAAAGAGACAAAGACAGAAGGTTGTACACAGCAGCCACAGCGAGGATTGATTAATATGGGCTATTAAGCTATAACACCAGATCATAGTCTGGTCCCTCTGGCCATATTATGGTGACATGATGAAGCGTCTGTATTAGCCATGGGAGAGTGCTAGTGATGCAGATAATAGCCACGTCCCAGGAGACCTGCAGAGGGAATTAATGCTGCTGTCTGACACACACACACACACACACACACACACACACACACATAGAAGCATGGATGCAGACGCTCACATACACACACTGACAGAATCATTTACATATATGCACACACACTGAGCAACACACACACACACATAATAAAGGTATGGTTATACCGCACACACAGATGAACACACCTATAAGTGCACATTAAATCATTTTTTCGCTGACGAGGACTCCACCTCTCATTCACAGTAAATGCATATATACCCCATAACCCCATCTAATTCTTTTCTGTCTGTTACAGTAGCAGGAAATGAGGTGGAAGGGATGAGGATTATTCTTCCATCTACACACACACACTCACACACACACACACACACACACACACACACACACACACACACACACAGTTCCTCTCTTGAACATTTCTCACCACTGTTAAGCCGTTCAAAAATGCATTGCTGAGAGTACATTTGAATTTTTATAACACTAGTGCAGATGTGCTCCCTCAGGTTTGACACTGGTATGAAAACTATTCATTTTGATTCCACACTTATAAAATATAACTACATTTTTCTACAAAGGGCTTATAACAGAAGTTATCGAATATCAAATCTAGTCATTTATAGCACTGGCAGAAAGTCACTTCAGTCATTTACTCAGGTATCGTAGTTGAGTACAACTTTGAATATTGCCATCTCTCCACATTTTCTACCTTATGCCTCCACTTCACCTTTCAGATTAAAAGTTTTTACTTTTACTCAATGAATAAAATGGCATTTAACCATTTATGCGGATCCCCTCGTCCTACCCTTCCACAAACTTGAATGGATATTGGGTCAGCTGTTTTTAAAAGCTGAGTTTAAAAGCATCAATAAATCATCCCCAGATCCCTCATATTCATCTTGTCTTAGTCGGAACCATTGCACTAAACTAAATGTATGTAAAGTAGTTAAAACTAGCTCTGTTTGACCAGCTTCAATAAAAAACTACCTGCACAACATCCATCAATAACCCTGAGTTTTATACTCCCCTCTTTTTCTCCTCTCCCTCCATTAATCGCCTCCTTTTCTCGTTCTCAGTGGGAGGAGATTGGCGAAGTGGACGAGGACTACGCCCCCATCCACACCTACCAAGTGTGCAGGGTGATGGAGCAGAACCAGAACAACTGGCTGCACACCAACTGGATCCTGACCGAGGGCGCCCAGCGGGTCTTCATCGAACTCAAGTTCACCCTGAGAGACTGCAACAGCCTGCCTGGGGGGGTGGGAACCTGCAAGGAGACCTTCAACATGTATTACTACGAAACTAACGGGGACGAGGAGGAAATGGAGGAGGGAGAGATGAGGGACGGAACGGGCATGACGGAGGAGGAGGACAGGCTCATGAAGGAAAGCAGATACATTAAAATTGACACCATCGCCGCCGACGAGAGCTTCACAGAGCTCGACCTGGGGGACCGCGTGATGAAGCTCAACACCGAAGTCCGCGATTTAGGCCCATTGACACGGAAAGGCTTCTACCTGGCATTTCAGGATTTGGGCGCCTGCATCGCCTTGGTCTCGGTGCGGGTTTTCTACAAGCGCTGCCCATTCCTGGTGAAGAGTCTGGCCGAGTTCCCCGACACCATCCCGGGCTCGGAGGCCTCGCAGCTGGTAGAGGTGGTGGGCCGCTGCGTTAACAACTCCCTGCCTTTATACGAGCCTCCCAGGATGCATTGCAGCACGGAGGGAGAGTGGCTGGTGCCTATCGGGAAGTGCGTGTGCCAGCCGGGGTTTGAGGAAATCAGCGGATCCTGTCAAGGTGAGAAAAAATCATGCAAAAGTGGCAAATTTCAGATTTTCAAATACGCTGTTTTTGCCTTTTTCATATGGTTGTCCAGTGTGTGCATTGTTGGTTTATTTCTGTGCGTGCACGTTGACGTGTGCGCCTCTTTTGTTTCACCATCCCCATCCTGTGTTTATTTTTATATTCATGCACATGTTTGTTTTTAGTATTGTGTGCTCGAGTGTGTGCATGGATCTGTTTATTCTTTTACCCAAAGTGTTTCTCTCCGTGTGCTTGTGCGCCTCTGTGAGTGTGTGCGAGTGTGTTTCTCCCCCAGCTTAGTGCAGGGTATTCCCCTGAGCCCCGCAGCACTTTGCTGCTCTCATCCAGCCGCTGTTCTGTCGCGACTCGAGCCCAAACATTCCCACCGTCGACCTTAACTGCCATTTCCACGGGCACCATGGGCCTCTCTTTCTCTCTCTCTCTCTCTCTGTTTTTCTCTCCTACACTCCTCTCCAGTCCCCCTCTGTGCTGTCTTTTAAATTACTCCATTTTCAGATTTCCATACGAGACACATACTTGCGCAGCAGCTCAGAGTGGCGTGAGGGGGAGAGAAAACCAGCCGCAAAGAGCTGTCATTGTAGCAGCATGAAGTTATATGGTACAGAAGATTGAAATGTGTGATTATCTGGTAGCCGTAGAGTGTTTCGTCTCTTGTGATTGTGTGAGTGTGCGTGTGGAGAATAGATGGAGAAAGGAATCAGAATTATACAAACCCACTCCATAGCACAAAGCAACCCCCCTCGTCTATACACTTTCTCCACTAAAACAGGTATTATGGCTGATGGCTTGAAACCGTGTCTATGCCTGAAATACTAATGCACCAGATAAACTGTATTACTCTGCCACAAAGCTTGTGTGATACATAATTGGAAAGTGTTTTGAACATTAGAGAAATATGTGTACACGGTGACAGTGGATTCAGGGAGCACGTACCTAACACATTTCAATTTGTATTGAGCTCATTTCACAATGTTTCCATTATGTCAGTAATTTCTCTCTGTTTGGAACCAGTCTACTGCGTCTTTTAACTACCATCAGTTCATCAGTCTAATTCTCCTGAAATCTGTCTCTCTGACTGTGGCTGGTATATCTTGGCCCGAGGTTGTGCAGTGTTGAGTTTGGTGAGATTTGTACATAGTGCCTCTGTAGCAGCGGTGGCTGAGACATTGTTGATCAGGACATCGACACCTGATTCAGAGCTTTTCTGAACAGCTCTTCAGCTTCGACGTTCTACAGACTGAGTCCTGCAGTCTTTAATTACTGTGGGTCACTCTGACAGTTTCACAAAGAAAAGCTGCAACCAGCATCGCCGCAAATCAAGAAGACAGCCCATTCCAAACAGGCAGGTTTATACCGGACACTGAACTAGTTAGAAGCAAATGGTAAAGAATCCCTGTAACAAACCCTGGGTTTACTTCACCTGACATGAAGTCTCTGTTGGGAGATCATTAGGAGAGAGTTGTCAGTTTGCCACTGGCCTGAGTCAGACTGCAGGAGACTGTTAGATCTGTTGCTGACAAGGATATAAAACATTCTGCTGTTTAATACCTGAGCTCGGTCTGTTCTGTATCAACGGAAAAGATTTTTCAGGATACTTCGTAGACGTGACGCCAATGGATGAACGTACATGTGCAGGAGTACAGATGTGAGAACATCTGGCTAATGCTGCGATTACCACTCATTAGCTTGCTGCCCAGTTATAGCACAGCTAATTATGCTTTTACAGACTGCTGCTGTTTGACTAATCTGGTTTGACCAGTCAGGTCAGCTGGAGCCTTTTGGAGAATATTCAGAAGTATGCGAGAAGTACACCAGAGTTTTATTAAAGAAAAGAAAATAGTTTTCTTCCATGAAGGCATGTAGAGATGTCTCTTAGTGTTTGAGGATGCAGTTTGTTAGTTTTTTTACCACGGTAGAGACGTAGCTCTAGGGATGGCAGTGTTGTGGATTGACTGGTCGTCCATCACTTTGGTTCTGACAGAATAATAATAATAATAATTGGATGACAATCATGCCAATGTTTACAGATATTGATTTTAGCAGAGGACAACTACTATTGGATGGATCGTCATTTAATTTGGAGGAGATAATCTGCCTCAGGAGGAATAACTTTGATGCTGTATTGTTTCATAATGTTCCATCATTTGGTCAAAATGTGAATTTGTGAGTCATGCTGATGGGCAAATAGTTTCAGAATTTTGTGCAGATTTAAAATCTGAAATCAAACTGAGAAAAAAAAATGCAGTAAACATTTTTTATAAATTTTCCCTTTATTGTGTGCGAAGTGCACAAACTGTCAGCAGAAAGACTTGCTAAGCGTGAAATAGAAACGTAGTTTGTAACTGCGTGGAGCTGCTGTGTGGACCACAGCAAAGATTAAAAGATTGTTCCATGAGACATGAATCAAACAACCACAGTCTGTTCTGCTGAAGACAGAGCTTTAAAGATGCTGCCAGAATATACCATGCCCTTTGTATTCTTATTCACAAAGGGGTGAGGACACTGGACTAAAATCTGACCCACCATCATCACTTACACGAAGCATACAGCATTGTGTCTGACGTCCTCAGCACAACACATTTCCTGCTTCTTAGCTTTGGATCTGACTTGATTTTTCATTTTAATGACATTCAGAGTATTTTTGCATCCCAGGAAGATGAAGATGTGTGATATGCAAATTGTTGCACAAACAGTTTAGAACAAACACAGTAAAATATATTTTTTTAATCACGCTCCCATGCACAGCAAACTGAAGTAAACATGCTGAAGAGTGAGCGTAACTCCTCACAACTAATGAAGCTACAGGATGATTCTTATTTTTTTATTTCCTGCGGTTTCATATGCAGATGAGCCGGGTTTAAAGTGACAGCCTTTGAAAACGTCTACAGAGACAAACATGGCAGGGTTTCCTCTCTCCCAGCTTTGTAACCATATGTGTTCTCTGCCTCAGCAAACAGCTTTTTCATGTGCGTTTCAGTCGCTCACCTTGGAGTGTGAAGTGTTGGATTTCCAGGGTTTTGAGACGTTGGAACAGTCCCTGGACGCCACAGTGCGAGGAGCTGTGTACTCGCCGGCCTCTTTTATATGGGATGGTTTCTGGTTGAGGTTTTAGATGTGGAGGTTTTTCCACATCTGTTGTGCTGGATTGGAAAACCTGTCTTGGAAGAAATGGTTTAGTTTTCTCTCTCCATTGTAGGTAGTTGATTTTTTTGATTGTTTGATCAAATTTGCAGATAATCATGGTTTATAAAAGAGTTAATGGTGAAGAAGTGGCCTATACTGGCAACTTTATTTCCAAATAAACACGACCGCCATCTTTGCTCGCCAAGACCATATTATTTTTTCACCAAGTTTGCAGATGTGTCCGAGAGAAAGACAGCGAGTGGAGGAATCAGGAGAGGCTGAATGATGTGGCTGTATTGGCTGCATGTGCTGCCTAGTAGAGCATGATTTAACAACCGCCTTTGTGAATGTAGGACAGCGCTCGTTATGGACACCTCTTTCTCCTCCTTTGTCTTTCTCCTCCCTCTCTTTCTGATGTTCTATCTCATTCACACGTCTCCTCTGTTTCTCTCAGTCTTAATCCTTTACTTTGTCTCTTTGTCAATACCGCTCCATTCCCCTGTGTTTTTTTTCCTCTATCTATCTCTCATTTTATCTTTCCCCAACCTCCCATCATCCATTGTCCGTCCGTCTCCCTTCCTCCTTCCCTTCGTCTTCATCGCTGTCGGCTACATTAGCACTCTTCCTCAATCAACAATCAAGCTTCTGCTCTTACACACATGTCCCTCAGAGGTATATATCTATATTGATGGAAAATGTGCTTGGAAATGCACAGTTGATAAAACTTCAGAGTTATTCACTGCTCTTTTCTTTCATTTGTCTTTTTTATAATCATTTAACATTTAATATGCATTTAAATGTGTGTTGCATTTCTCAGTGCAGCCAGTAAAAGATGCCTGTAAAGTAAATATATTTACATTCAAAGTGATGCTGTCTTGTTGAACCAGACATAATATTGTGTCAGATGATCTAAGGATACAGCTGAATGTGACCATGTAAGATGTAGACTTTACAGCAGGGATAATTGGCGATCGCCTGCAGCACTGTCAGCCCAGCAAGACTGAAGAGAGGAGATGGATGAATAGATAGACGGGAGGATGGAGGGAGTACAGAGAGGAGAATTGATGGCTAAACACGGGGACACAAGATAAATTGGAGATTTCACACTACAGGATGTGAGGCCGGGGAGACACAGAGATGGATGAGTGTTGTTTCAGGGGCGATGGCGATAGAGGGAGGATAACGGAGGATAGAAGTGGGCAGATGGATGGAGAGCAAGATGGGGAGATAGAAGAGGGTTGTAGATTGAGTTCAGCCTCGCAGACGTGATGGAGGCTGAATGAACACTTGGAGGAATGGAGGAATAATGGCTGAATGGAGGCAGTGAAATAATGTTAATGTTGAACGTTGGGTGTGTGGAAGAGTTGAGGGGGAGTGATTAGAGCCAGGTTATTTATATCTGTTTATAAATTATTAGAGCGGCTGGTTGTGAAGACTGAGCTGCAGTAGAGTTATTTATCATTGCATTTTTTCACTCATATTTTTATATTTTAACGAGAATTGTACTCAGGCCCAACCGTCCCCTAATGAAATCACATTTAAATTCACTAGATCCAGATTTTTATTTGGCTCTTGAAATCTATGAGCACTCATCTCAGGAATCACTGGGTTTCATAAATCAATACATCAATCAATCTTAAATGATCCACAAGGACAATTCGATATTGGTTGTAGGTAAACAGACAAGGACCGTGAGAACACTCAGACCATCACTGGTCAATACAAGCAAAGGAGCTTTGAAAAGGAGCTAATAATGATAAAATTACAGATGATGATAAATACTTGGATACAGAAATAGTCCACGTGGCAGAAAGGCTTTTAAATATTTAATACCAAGCTGCACATAGACC